TTTAGTTTTATGATGCTATTAGTGTATATATTTATATATTATTAAATTAAAATAAATTTGTGTAACAAAGCAACATTCAAAATTCAAATTTTATTTCAAATATTATTTACCGAAAAATTTTCGAACAAATCAAACGAAAGTTTTTAGTGCTGCCAAACTACCGTCATTAATAAACCCGAAATTTGAGAGAATAAGAAAGAGAGAAAATATGACATTTGTATATTTGACGTTTGGCAAAAATTATTTTACGTGGCCGCTTATTGCTTCAACAAACAAATTGTGCAGTTGTTAAATTATTTTTCAATTGCATTTAAGACAATATATTAGTTGCAAATATTATTGATTAATATGAATTTAAAATTGCTTCTGACATTTTCAATAGTATTACTATTACGTACGACAGCAGCGTTTATAGTGACTGTCGACGCACACAATGAAGAATGTTTTTTCGACAAAGTTGAAGGTGGCACCAAATTTGGTGAGTTAATTAAATTATATTTAATAAACAAATAAAATATAAGTTTCATATATGTAGGCATTACTTTTGAAGTAATCGAAGGTGGTTTTCTGGATATTGATATCAAAATTAGTGGTCCCGATCAGAGTATAATACATCAAAGTGAAAAGGAATCATCTGGCAAATATACATTCGCTGCGCCCGTAACAGGATTGTATAAAGTTTGCTTTAACAATGAACGCAGTAGTATGACACCTAAAGTGGTTATGTTTTCGATTGATTTGGGTGAGACACCACACCGTGCACCGGGTGCACCAGGTGAAGAAGAAGTTGGCCATACAAAACTTGAAGATATGATACGTGAATTATCAGGCACATTGACAAGTGTTAAACACGAGCAAGAATATATGCATGTTAGTAACATAATTATTATTGTTTATTTGTTTAAGATAATGTATATTAAAAATTTGTTATTCGTAGGTACGTGACAAAATTCATCGTTCCGTTAACGAAAGCACAAATTCACGTGTTGTGCTGTGGTCCACCTTTGAAGCTCTGGTGTTAGTACTTATGACAATTGGACAAGTTTATTATCTCAAACGTTTCTTCGAAGTAAAACGAGTTGTGTAGAATTAAAATTTATTTATATAAATAATTTTAAATAATTTAGTAACAATTTTTAAAGCATATTCATCAGGTTTTGATTTGTGGCAATGTAATTTAAATAACTCAAAAAAATAGTCCTCATTTTTCAATCATTTTGTTGAATTTTTTTCCTTCAAATATGATAGCTTCAAAAACCATTTTTTTAAATAAAAATCGGAAAGCGAATAATGTTTTATTAATAAGCGTATGTAGTTGAGAACAATGTCAGCAAGTAATGTATATAATTTTTGCAGTAAAATAAGTTAACGCATTTGTATAAAGTAATTATTCTGTAGTAAATATTAAAGCGAAATGTTATGACGTTAATGTTTTAAAAACAGTATCTATTTAATGCTGAACACAAATGTACAGTGACTAATGTATTGGATGATTGCATTACTCTAATCCTGCGCATGATTAAGCCAGTCACGGACTAGTGTATTCCATGAAATTGTAGTACATTGAGAGTAGTCAGCTAAGACTGCTGACATTACTGATATTATTTTCCCTAGACTGGTAAATGGCACAGAGTTTATTCCGTAAAATAAATAAATACATAAATATGTAATTCTCTTTATGGAAAATAACCTAAACACAAATAAAGAAAATCAATTTAGGGTGAATGGAAACATTTGTTAAGCAATTGCCATTTGATATGAATCTCATCTACAATAAAAAGCCTATTTGTTAGACATGGAAATCATAATTTTTGTGTTATCCACTATTCCAACGCATTTGGTCTTGTATTGGTCTACTGTGGTATTGTGTCAACCCAATAATTTGTAAGGATTTTTATTAACAATTTACACAATCCAGTGGTTTTTCGAAGTTGTTAAGATCAATTTTAATTATTTATAATATTTACATTTCATACCACACACTCATGAAAATTATTTCAAATTCATTTACAAACTTTTGTAAAGCTCGCATTTTCTAAGCAATTTTTTCCTATACGCTATAGCGAGTCTAATTGTTATTAATTATCAATTGTGTTATTAATAAAAAATTCAAGGTTCGAAAAGAATATGAGAAATTAAACCATATTCTAGAAAAATAAAAAATTTACGCTAATCATGATAATTTGTCATAGTTTCAATATGAGTAGAACATTAAAAAATATCACATATATAAATATTTTATAAGTGATTTATAGAAAAAACTTTTGGAAGTTTCCCTTAGTAATTTATGTGGCTTTCTTAAACAAATGGTGAAACATTTACTAAAATATTTCAAAATATATTTAACATCATATACCAAAATTTAAAATAATGCATCATAATATAAACAAATACAACTCTGTATGACGAATATATTATATGCAGAATAAAAATGTAGTAATACGTGTCTTTATAATATTATTTTTTCATTGTTCTGCTACATTTACAAAAATTATTATTATACCTGTTTTTTAATGTTAAATAAAAATTTTTTCCCTACAAAAATTATTCTGAAAGTTTTTATTCACTCTAACTGCATTTATAAATATATAAAGATTCAAATGCAACTCTGCAACAGAAACAATTCGAACAAAAATTAAGTTGAGATATTAAAAAAATAAACTTTTATTTTTAATATTATATGAAATGATTTGAGCGGTATAATGTTCAAACACTAAAAACAATAAGTAGTGAAATTAATGAACCCATCGTAAATATTCTCATAAACTAATTTTACATATAATATCTTATTATTACTACGCATTTTCTCTTTATATATATATATATGAATGTTCATTATTAATTTTTTTTTATAAATTTTGATTGAATATGAAATACAGAGAATGTAACTTTTAATATGAAAAATAAAAATTAAACTATCTCTGTTTGACGATATTTTCCCTGTCTAAACTCGATAGTATAGCATGCTAAATTCATATTATGTGCCACAGGGTATGCTAATTTGCTAAAATGTTAAATTCGAAGTTTCGAATCAGCTGTTCTTGACATATTTGTTTATTGTGCTATTTTTTGCTAGTGGTTTAAGAAGTTGTTGACATATTGTATTATATCTTTTATAGCGCAAGTTTTAGTAATTTAGATTTAAAAAAATGGAATCTAAAAGACAACGCAGTAGAACTTCTTCTGGCATTAGGTGGCACACAGAGGATCTGGAGTTATTGCTAGAAGAAGTAATTAACAGAATAATAAAGGATCCAAATTCTTTTGAGGTAAAGTGCGCTGGCGTGACATGTAATAAAAATTTTACGTGTATTTTCCAATTTACAGACGCCAACATCAATTAAATTCTACACAAGCATAATAGAAAACAATGTTGGTTTAAGGAAATATAGTTGGGTGTCCATGCGGGATAAAATGAAAAATGTAAAAGCAAAATATAAACAAGCCATAGAATGGCGCGAGCAAAATGGGCAAGAAGAAGAATTTGATAGCACAATCACGGGTAAGATGTTAAATATTTTATTTTTACTTATTTATTTGTGAGTTAATATTAAAATTAATTTTAAAGTTAAGTTAGAATAAGATATTGGACTGCTAGGTCCTTCGTCCTTTAAATGTCCTTCATCCTTAAAATGTCCTTCATCCTTAAAATATAGAAACACACTGATGGTTTAACACTCATGGCATTTTTACTGTTAAATAAAAACGCCATGATGCTAGACAGCAATGTGTTTCTGTGATTATTTAGGATCCATTGACTTTCTAAAACAAGTTTTTTTACAGACTCGATTAATAAAATTTGCCCATATTTTGAACAATTAGATGCCATATTTGGGGATAGAAAGCCGGTAAACATTATTCGTTCCCCAATAAAAATTCAACAAAAGAATCAAAAACCAAAAATAAACACGGAGCTCACCTATTTACAACAGTTGGAAACAGATCGTCTATTATATAAAAAGGCAAAGCTAGACATTGAAGAAAAAAAATTCGATTTCGAAAAAGAAAAATTTGAGAGAACTTTTGCTTTGGAAGAGAGGAGATTAAAAATGGAAGAGAAAAAAATAGCTGAGGAATTAAAACTTAAAAATATCGAAAACGAAGACAATAAAGAATTGGAATTAATTAAAATAAAACTTCAGCATGAACTAGAGCTCAAGAAGTTAGAATTAAGTTTAAAATAAAACGATAATCAACAATAAATGTAGTAATATAAAAAAAAGATTAAATAAAACACAAAAAATTTCTCATCTAATATATATAAAGCCATGGACGTAGTCAAAGGAGCCGTGTGGTAAAGGGGGTCCCCTTTATAAGGTTATGGATCTATCCTACTTAATGTGTGAGTAAAACATTTCCAAAACTGTTAAAGTTCGTCTAGGAAGCATGGGAACGAGATTTGGGAAGTATGATTCTATTTTTATATCTTATTTTACTTTAATACTGAAAGAAATGCATTTTATTTCATATTTAACATCGTTGAATCGTTTTAACACAAATAAATTTCAAATTTTAGTTTACTATTTGACTACATTCTGCTCACGTTCTTGGGTACGCCCTTGTATGAGATCCGGAGTTTCCTTTTATAATATTAAAAGTACAATTTATTTTTAAGCTTAAAGCTTATGCTTTTCAACTCAGCATTTTTGATTACATCTTCACTATTCCATAGACTGTAATAGGAAGCAGAGACCAATCTTCTCTCTATCACAGGACATGTAGCTATCTGCTTATGGGGAACATATTTAATTGAGATCTTTGTATCAATTCGAAATTTAAAGCTATTGAAATGCGTTTTCAGTAAACCGAATGGACTATATAGAAGCTAGATATTCAAATTCATTTGTTTGATATCTGATAGTTAAATCGATTTTTTTTGGAAAGGATTTATTAATAGTTATATTTAACTTATAAGCGCTGTCTCGTGCCGCAAATCCAATAATATCCTTTAATAATGTTATGAATTATATTGGATTAAGGTTAATTATTTTTACCGAAAGCTACGCTTCTTATGACCACAAATAAGGTTTTTCCCTATCTTTTCTTTGCTATTCGAATTCTTCTAAATTATTGTTTAGTTGAATATTGCTGTTACAGTGAAATATTCACCTCAGGATCTACTATTGGTCTTATATGTAAAGCACTTTCACGGCCCTCATTATATGCAATGCAATAGAGTATCTAATGAATTTCTTTAGTTACTTAATTTTGCAGTTTATAGCAGCATTGGCAGCTCTTAGTCCATTACACCACCAATTTCGTATAACTCAATAATTTTACAAAAAGATACACTTATCCAACAAATGTTTTTTTTTGTGCTGTTGATATCAACTTTAAAATCACGTCAATTTTTTAACTTTAACGAGGAAGAATTAAAAGGGCTGCTGGAACTTTTGACATATCATGACTTTACCTATTACCAAATTATCGTAGTAGTTCTTATGATTATTCAATAATAGACATTTTCAACCTTTTCTTTTTTTTGCCGGTAGGTGGAAAGCCACAGCATGAGACTTGAACCCACATAAACCACATCAACCACATAAACATGCTCGAGAGGTGGAAATAAGAATACTCTCGAGTTGCGATGAAAATTTTCAATGTTTTAAAATTATTTTATTTTATAGTAAATAAAATTAGTGTTTCCATTTTTTTGATTAGTAATTTTTAATCCATTTTAACAAAACCTATTACTTTTAACATTTAATTATATGTACAGTTAAGATGGTCTACGAAGTAGAACGAAATATGTATATGGAAAAATTTTTTTTTATATATGAAAATGATTTTAACATTAAATTAGTGTTATTAATTAATAACTAACTTATCTTAAGCCTGTTTAAATTAAATTTTATTTAAAGTTATTAGTTAAATTCCTTGTTAGTTAAATTTTGCATGCCACTTCCATTTTAATTAAAATATAGTTTCGAGTGTTGGCAGCTCTAGCAAATTCTCTTTGCCATTAAAACTCAACTGCGACCTTCACTGAAGCAATTTTGTTGGCTCTCTGTTTGGCTTTTGTTTACTGATTAATCACTTTTTGCATTAAACAAAATGAGCTTTGCAATGAGATTTCATTTAAAATTTTAGTTACAAATAAATTTAAGAATAAACAAAAAACAAAAAGAAATTTTTATATGTCTCAAATAGCCTCAGGCATTTTTAAAATAAAATGTTGAATTGTGATATTAGTTTCCACTGCCTCCTGTTAATTTTCTTACCAATTTGTGCGGCACTTACGCCCGCAGAAAAGCCGAACATACTATTGGTATTAACAGATGATCAGGATGTAGCACTGGGTGGAATGATGCCTATGAAGCAAGTACAAGCACTATTGGGCAAAGAAGGTGCAACATTCAACAATGCAGTAAGCACACTTAGCGTTTATATTAAATGCATATAAAATATTTTGTTTATTTAGTTTACCAGTTCGCCGTTATGCTGTCCATCACGTGCTAGTCTACTCTCAGGAAAATATGCGCACAATCATCGCACAACAAATAATTCTTTAAGTGGTGGTTGCAATGGTAACTACTGGCTCAAAAATGTCGAGCCGCATGCTTTGCCAGTTTTATTACAAACTGCGGGTTATCACACATTCTTCGCCGGCAAATATCTCAATGAGTATCGTGGGGAAAAAGTACCTCCCGGTTGGAATGACTTCCACGGATTACATGGCAATTCAAAATATTATAATTACACTTTACGTGAAAATGCACAAAACGTTAGTTACACGAACACTTATTTAACTGATTTGCTCAGCAGTAGAACCTTGGAGTTTTTGGGAAAACCAGAACTTGTTAGTGCACCATTTTTTGCAATGGTCGCCACACCTGCACCACATGCGCCTTTTATACCTGCAGAACGTCATCGTAATAGTTTTGCTAATATTGAAGCGCCACGTACACCAAATTTCAATCACATCTCTGAATCACTTGGTAAATAGTTTCTCTTTACATAACATATATGAACTTTAATAAACACTATTTTATATGAACTTTAGAAAAACACTGGTTGGTAGGCAGTTCTAAGCTCATACCAACAAAAACGCTCAAATTAATGGACACGTACTTTCAACAACGTTGGGAAACCTTATTGGCTGTTGATGAACTAGTAGCTACAGTTTGGAAACTTTTAGCTGATCAAAAGAAATTAGATAACACTTATATTATCTTCACATCTGATAATGGGTATCATATCGGACAATTTGCACAACCTTTCGATAAACGTCAACCATATGACACTGATATACGCATACCACTGTTAATGAGTGGTCCCACCATACCAAAGGGTATAGAAATAAATGCGCCCGCAGTATTGGTGGATTTAGTGCCAACTATACTTGAATGGGCACAACTATCAGACCAAACAAATGGTGATGGCGAATCGTTGCATGCATTGCTGGTAAATGCTGTTGGGTATGATGCTTTACTTGATAAACAATACACGCGAAGTTTGTTAGTACAACACTGGGGTGAGGGCAATGTTGACACATATAATGCAGAATGTCCTTGGAGTAAGAAAGATCGGTTGACAGAGTGTACCATAGAAGGAGCTTGCCATTGCCAAGATGCTTGGAATAATACATATGCGTGCATACGTCATTTTAGTTACAATACAAATAGATTGTATTGTGAATTTCGTGATAATGAGGTTAGTTTAAAAAATATATTTTTCATATGATGATTTTAATTATGAAATTTTGTTTTTATAGAATTTTGTTGAAGGATATGATGTAGATGATGATCCTTTCCAAATGACAAATATGGGTTATGAGTGGTTACCTATAGAACGTGCTTTATACAGTTTAGCTTTACAAAATTTAACAAAATGCGCTGGACCTTCGTGTCGGGACGTACATATTTAGAAACCTTTTACTTTTTTGTACCTCCAATTCTGTTCTCATGATGAACCAAAAATTTGAAAAACTAAGTCGAAATTATAAGAATTGTTTAAAAAATATTGTTTAAAAATTATCTCGTTATTAATATAAGGGCCATATAAATTTTTTATTTAACCAATTATAGTATGTTATGATTTATCGCTAAATTGTAAGTAAAATAATAGAAACATCTATGTATCGTATACTTTGGATTGTTAAAAATTAATCTAATATTTATGTTAAAATATTAAAAATTTTAATATGCGCACACCATTAAAATTTGAATAGTTAAAATAAATATTCAATTATTTATTTATAATTGATAAAAAGGATGAAGTGGAAGAAATAAAAGCTTATAGATTAGTGTTTATTTTTGTTTATATTATTATATAGTATTTATTAATTAATTTTTATTTTTGTTGTTATTATTATTGCATAGTTGTCTATATAGCTATCGCCGATGTTACAAAGTTTGTTTGACTTCTTTCTCAGGCCTATATATATTAATATATAAATTTATATATATGTATTATATATTATAAAAATATAAATCTTATATATAAATATAAAGTTATATATATTTTATAAAACAAAAATATAAACTAATCTATAAACTTTTATTTTTTCACTTCAGTCTTTTTATAAATTATAAATTGATTTCCAAATTTAATTATTTTCAATTTTATTATTAAAGTTGTTAAATAAGTCAACTGCTAACTTTGCAATTAATTATTGAATGTCATTAGTAAGTATGTTTTTTTTTTGTATGGATTTTGTATAAAAAACGAAACTTGTCCGTTTTATAGCAATATACGTAAAAGATACTAGTTTTATAAGTTTCTGTGGTTTAAATTACAATAAAGCGATATTGCATTGTTTGGAATGAAATTTAGTATTTAATTACCACATTGGATGGAAAAATTATAACAAAAGTTTAGATTATATAAAAATTTATTTTAAAAAAAATATGTAATTTTATATTTCGAAAAAAAAAATAATCTTAAACTATATTGAAATTTGAAGGAATCATAATTAAAATTATTTTTACAAATTGATTAAATTGTTACTTAAACTCGAACGGTAATCGATCATTTAAAGCTAAGCATTTTTAGGCACTTAACTTTTAAAATAGTTTATAAAAAAATTTATATATATATATAAATATATATGTATATATAAAAAAAAATTCATTGTTTCTTGTTTGCTAGTTTATTCAAAATTACTTAATCGACGAATTTCAATTTAATCAATAAATTTTTTTTTTTTAATTTTAATTTGATTTTATTTAATACGAAAGGTCAAGTGTTTCATTGCCTTTATATAACTTAGAATTTATATATGAAGATGTTATTATCTTCATGCAGTGTTATGGAGCTAATATGAGTACTATATTTGTGTATACTTTTTAAACGGTTGCTCTTCGGATGAGCATATTTTACTTATTAATAGATTAAGATGATTTAGTTGATTTTGTTGATCTTGTTATTTAATCGGCATTCTCTTTGCCTGTATTATTTTTATCTTCATCATTACTGCTCGTATGCCAGGTAAGACGCTCTTCATAAAATTGTATAACAATTTGTGGACACTTTACATTAGCCTGCTTGGCAGGCACTAAATCGGCTTCCTCGCTGCCTTTCCACTTCATTAGAAACATGAGCTCTCCAGATGTATCAGTAGCACCAATAATTTGTGCTGGCTCAAGGCCCCTATCAAATCCCATGCACTTGCGACCATCGCGTTCATCTTCGACAACCTTTCTTTTATTTTTGGAGTCGTTAAGCGGTGTTGAATTAGGTCGCTTTTTGTTATCTAAAATTAAAGAAAAAAAATATTAATTTAAAATTAATTTTTAAAAAAATATAATATTAAGTATATTTAAGAATTTATCTGTTGGTAATAGACCTTTTAACATGATGATATTCTGCTGGAACAATTAACTATTCAAAACTAATAACATATAGTATAATAACATATATATGTTAATATAGAAATTGTATAAAAAAAAATGAATATGGAACATAAAACAAATATGCGAAATATACTCAAACTGATTCAATATCGAAATACTCAATTTTAGTATATTGAAAGAGTTCGAATTTGTATTCGTGCTGCTCAAACAACGAAATATTTAAAACAAGAACATTGAAAGAGTTCCATTTGAACTGCTGAATTATAGAATATGCTCGCTTTCTCAGAACATAGGTTTTCGATTTCGAATATACTCAATTTCAGCTGCTCGAATCGCGAAATACTAAATTTTAGAACTCAATTGAACACAGCTGATTACAGTGTGTTGCAAAAAGTGAGCGACACTCGATAGTTGATATTTTATAGAAATGTGATCTCAAGATCGAATGAACTTTTGCAGGTACCTGCCTCAAGATGCCTCAAAATTTCACTCTGGTGAGGATGCACCTTCATTTTTCTATATAAGAAACGCAATAATTTTGAGAAAATTTAACTACAAAAATTAAACTATAATTAAATAAATTTATTTGATCAATTATCAGCAGTCTTTGGAATTATTTGTTGAACTTTATTCTTTGTGTATGAATTTTATCAAATATATGATTAAAACGTATATCATTTAATAAATGAAGTTTATTTTTACCTAAAAGATATAAAATGTTCTTTGAATATTAAAATTATTCAAAGCTAGTCGTTGGGTGCATCACGCGGTGGTCCGAAATGGGTTAAACACGTTCAAATATCTATAATTAGTGACCTTTCTAATTATTTATTGGACTTTATTATCCGTATATTATCCAAATGTCCGGCATTAAACTAAGCCTAAGTAGAAGCAATAATTTCACGTGTTTTAACCAAACGAGCCAAAGCTGCACAAATCTTTTGTTGTTCACTTTTTTTTTTGATTTTTAAAAGCTAATTTTTTTTACAGATACAAACTAAATATGGACTTTTGAAGCCAATGAATATTTCGAAAATCCATTGATGGTGAATAGCTGACAATACTTGAAACTGCTGCATCGTTTGTTAGTCAAAAATTCAAACAAAATAAATAATTTTGTTGATATTTAGTATTACTTAAAAAGCCGGTCTATTAATAAAATAGTTTTCTTAATTGACATTAAATTATTGTGATGTTATATGGAGATACTGCATATAAAAAAAAATGCATTACCGAAAGTAGTTAGTGAAATTTAAGTGAAAAACTATTCTTAATGAACCGACACCGGCTACACTTCCTACAACATTTTATTCCCAAGTAATATATCAGTGTTATAATATAATAATATTCTAATTATTACATTATCTTAATATTCGCAGTTCTGAGTTTAAAAAAAAACTGTGTTAGTTACAAATGCAGAGCATATAGTACCTTTTTTGGACTTGATGGATTCTTCATATGCGGCGATCAAATCAGGACAGTCTAAATTTTCTACAGGTTCCCAAGTATTATCACTTCTTGGATAACCCTTCCACTTCAGGTAATATTCAACCTGAAAACAAAAAATTTACAATAAATTAATTTCACTTTGGAAGACTACTTCAGCATTAAAAACTTGCCAACCTTGTTGTTTATTACACGTTTGTCCTCAATACGCTCTACCGAGAATTCTGCAGCCGATTCCGACTCTGTAGCCATTTTAAACCGTGTGTGCTGTAAGGAAGTCACATTTATTAATATTATATATATATGTTCAACACATTTTAATACAAAAATATACAAAAAAAGAAAAAAACCAAAAAAATGTAGCAAATTTTTTATTAAAATCACACAGCAATTTCGGTGGTAAAATATAAATCATTGGGAAGGATGTAGCAAATGTTTATACCATAATTTTTTTTGTTGTATTATTACCTCTTCGTCTTTTGAGTTTAATACTTAAACCTATTAAATATATATATGTACTTTTTTTTATATAAATTTTCACTATATTGGTTGCGTCTTGTTCGTTTCCCTCTTTCTCGACAGTGTTTCACTTCACTGTAGGTAAAGTACTCAAATTCACTACGAAATGAAAATTGCGTACTTTCTGGTATTGTCGTATGTTTTTATATATTTTTAAAAATTGTTTTATTTAAATGATTTTATTTTTTAAAACGCAAGGTTGCTTTTTTAATATTAATTATAGTT